ACACACACACACACACACACACACACACACACACCTATAACCTGCATTCTTTTCATTCAGGAATTTGTTGGCCTCAGGGAGTTTTGCTAAGGATCTTGTGACAGTAACTCAGGAATTTTACTGTGTACTTAGTATTTTGTTTTTTCTGGAGAAGCGTCATAAGGATGAAATGTTGTTCTTACAAACAGTTTGGTTCACAAGTTGTGACAGACTACTAATAACATATTCTCACTTCAATTAACTTTTTAAACACATTGTTTGCTAAGTCTAGAACCAAACAAACATTTTAATGAAAATAATGCATAAAAAATCTATAATATGCACTAATGTAAAACCAACCAGAAACAGTCTGGGATATATTTGTCTCCATAATTTGACGGGTTACTGAAGCCGCTGTGCTGATATCTGTATTTTCACATCCAGSAGTAGTTTTACTAAGTTCCCCCATCAGATGTATTCAAATGACAAWATCTTTCAACTTAAATATTTTCCACTGGCTTTATTGCTGTTTTCTTTTTACATTTTCTTACATGTCCAAAGATACTGTCCAACATTGGCAGGACAGCGACTACATAGTGGTTTACCACAAAGGTCGCTACTTTCGTCTCAGGGTTTACCAGGCAGGCAGGCTCCTGTCGCCAAGAGAGGTTGAATTTCAAATTCAAAGGATCCTCGATGACTCTACGTCTCCGTCAAAAGGAGAGGCCAAACTTGGAGCCCTGACTGCAGGAGATAGGTGAGTTTGATTATACATTATGGTTTRAASACAACAGCAYCATAAATGATAATGTCACTATTTTTCTCTCAAACGTCAATCAGAATTCCGTGGGCCAGAGCAAGGGCAAAGTATTTCAGCAGTGGGGTCAACAAACGGTCCCTGGACTGCATTGAGAGAGCAGCCTTCTTTGTGACCCTGGACGATGATGAACATTGCATGGTTGGAAATGATTCAGCTGCTAGTTTAGATCGCTACGCCAAGTCTTTGTTGCACGGCAAATGTTACGACAGGTACTTCCACACTCTGATGGTTTTTGTGAATGTGTAGTTACTGTAGGTTGTTTTGTTGAGCACTTAGATACCTGGAACCTTCCACAGTGCTCAGTTATTTATCTTTGCTCTCATCCAGGTGGTTTGACAAGTCCTTCTCCGTTGTATTCTTCAAGAATGGAAAGAGTGGCATAAACGCAGAGCACTCTTGGGCCGATGCGCCAGTAGTGGCACATGTATGGGAGGTAAGAAACAAGGAAGCTTAAAAGGTTGCACAGTCATGTTTTGTGCTGAGGAGAGGCCATTTACTGTAACTTCTGTGTGTTTCCAGTACATGCTGGCTACTGACAGTTTCCAGCTCGGTTACACTGAAGAAGGTCACTGCAAAGGAGAAGTAGATTCTTCACTTCCTCATCCACAGAAGCTCAACTGGGATATTGTCCCAGAAGTTAGTTAACCCTTCAAACATCGAACTGTACACATTAGTTTAGTTTTAGTGCTCATGTTAAAACAGTGCAAAGTTTATGTACAAACATGGTACTTTCAATTTGTTCTTAAATCATCATTATTTATTGTAGTTTCTTGAAGTTTAATACAGAATATATGCTGTAGCTGTATATAACAGCTATAGAGGTTGTGGATACACTCAGAGAATGTTGCCTTTTGGGAATATTTGTGTTCCTTTTTGTTTCACTAGTGCCTATAATAGTGTAGAGGTGTGGGCTTGTGTTGTAACAGTAAAGGTGTAATTTACTTCTGACCATAGGGTACTTTTGTAAACCTTTCCAAACAAAATAACGATGGTAGAAGCAGATGTAACATTACTTMAGAGTTTTTGTTGTCAGGTGCTGCATTAAAAAAAATATATATATATATACATTTTTGAAAACCATCTTCAAAATCAGCAAACATGTTGGTGCGTTACTGCCACCTTACAGTAATGTTAGCTGCACATTGCTACCAAGTGAGAGGAGGAAAACAGACAAAGACTTATCAAAATATAGTCAAAATCATTAACGTTAATGGCTGTTTGAAAATTTGGAAGTCATTGCTCATCACTATCAGCAAGCTGGTGTRTAATTTTATTTTATTTTTTACAAAATTGCGTGTAATGCTTGTCTGTCCTGTTGTTAACGGTTTGGATGCCTTCTTCCTCAGTGTGAGGAGCAGATCTCTGAGTCTCTGGCATTGGCCCAGGCTCTGGCAGATGACGTGGACTTCCATGTTTTCTCCTTTCGAGACTTTGGCAAAGGAAAGATCAAAAAGTGTCGAGTCAGCCCTGATGCTTTCATTCAGATGGCTCTTCAGCTGGCCTACTACAGGGTGAGCCTCTGAGGAAGAACACTGATACACATTTACACATCTTAAGTGGTTATGCCTGTTTATTAAGACTTACCTTCAGCTGTATTATAAGTCTATATACAATTTGATTAAAAAAGAMGCATATTACTGACACAAAATATCTAATCCTGACATAAAATAGTGGCAAATATCTCCATGTAAGTGTTTTTTTCCCTACATCCCAGGATCGGGGGACATTCTGTTTGACATATGAAGCCTCCATGACTCGTTTGTTCAGGGAGGGCAGGACAGAGACCGTTCGGTCCTGCACCAGTGAGAGCAGTGCCTTTGTCCGAGCCGTAGAGAATGGAGAGGTGAGAACAAAGAGACCAAACATTTGTGGTTTGAATTATAATACTAACTTATAATAAATTATTTTCAGTTAAGTCCATCTTGAAAACTTTTCCTTCCAGCTGTTTCCTTTTATAAAATCATTGTCTTTTTTTTTTTGTTTTCCTAAACATATTACACTGTCATCCAAGCCGGAAGAGGTGTGCCGACGTTTGTTCCGTTCAGCATCAGAGAAACACCAGCATCTATATCGGATGGCCATGACTGGAGGTGGTATTGATAGGCACCTATTTTGCCTCTACGTGGTTTCCAAATATCTTGGAGTGGAGTCTCCCTTCTTGAAAGAGGTTTTTTTTGTTGTTAATTGATCCTTYACTCTTATTACATTTTCTAGTTTAGTGTATTTCTTTTATCTAAAAGACCTGACAGAAATGATGGTGTCTGTTGTTTCAGGTGCTGTCTCAGCCATGGAGACTGTCCACAAGTCAGACGCCTGTCCAGCAGGTGGAGCTGTTTGACATGGTTAACTACTCAGAATACATCTCCTGTGGAGGCGGCTTTGGACCAGTCAGTATTTTAAACACAAAGATCAGAACTGAAACTGTATATATGCATGTCTGTAACTAATTTAAATGCGTAGKTAAAAGAAAACGTGCTTTTCTGGTGTCATAAAGCAGTTTAAAATTCTGCAATCAGCTTGAGTGTCCTTAACATCTGGGTCTGTTTTCAGGTGGCTGATGATGGTTAYGGGGTGTCGTACATGTTTTTATCAGAGAACATCATAAACGTCCACATCTCCTGTAAACACTCCTGCTCTAGCACTGTGAGTTTAAACAAAGGKTTTTTTTTTCTGCGCTGCCAAAGACTCAATTTTCTGACTCAAGGAACTYTTAAGGAAAACTCAATTCTAACTTGATCAGTTCTTAGTGCTATAATTTGATTGTTACTGATCTTTGGGAGAATTAAGAAATCATATGGCTTCTGMAGTTAATGTTTGGGGCTTCAAAGCAAAGAGGCTGAAAACATATGCACTATATAAAATTATTGCTTTTATTCAAGAATTTTAAATCAATTAAATTCCAAKTTGTACAACAACATAGTATAAAAATTACCAGGAGTAGTGAATACTTTTGCAAGGCATTGTATAGAATCAGATTGAAAACAGATTTCACATTGCTCTGTGTTGTCTCTTTTTAAGGACGCCCATAGATTTGGGGATCAGATCAGGAAAGCCCTGCATGATCTGCTGAAGCTGCTGAGCCTGAGCCCAGAGGAGTCCAACAAAAAGGAGGAGAGTCGAGCTGAGGTCAAGAAAGAAAAGTAGATAGTTGTTCAGAAGAAAGTATGCTGGAGAAATTGTGCATATACATGTTATGTCACAGGGTGAGAAAATGTATTTTTCTTTTGTTCTTATAAGTTGAGAGAAATATGCTGCCCYATTGATGGCATTTAAGAGACAGCTCCTTAGAATAACAGATGACACTGAAGATTGTGTTTTAGGTGATGCGTCTCTATTTTTGTTTTTTTTAGCATATGGAGAAAAAAAATGGTCCACACAAGGACAAAAATATATATATTGGGTTAGTTTTAAAAGTCCAACATAAAGGTGTATAATCCAAATCATTTAATAAAATTAGTATGTAATGTTTTGTTATAATAATAAAAGCCAGTACTGTATGTGTTACACCAATCATCAGGATAGAAAGTCCTAAAGTCACTCTCCTGCAGGGAATAATTCAGTTCAAATTCAAGATCAGTATGTTTTGAAGCTATAGTGTATGCCTCACTTTGTGCCACTAAATTTCTGTTGTTAATGCAGTTGGTCAGCGTGATACTTGTTTTACTTGTAAAGTGTTAGACTGAAGGGAAAACAWGCAGGACTGCCGAGGTAATTTCATTTTCTACCACTTATATACAGAGTTACTGTAGAAGTCAGGAAGTATTTTAAAGCTCAGAGGTCTGTGACTTTTGTACAAACATGAGTCGAATGCTGTGTTTTAAACATGTGCTGCAATTTAAAATTCAATCTTTTTGACAGCATTTATATTCCGTCTGCTCATCCAGAGAAGAACTTTTGGTTTATTTCTGAACATATTTAAGTTACATGTAAAGCTAACTACAAAGCTGTACTGTTGTAAACTTCAGTTACTTCACTGCCACATTTTTTTAAACTTTGTTTTTACACTTGTTTTAAATTTGTGCCATAACAATGCAAACTTTATTTATGAATACACTGACGGCAGTTACTCAGTGAGCAGTGCTGCTGGTCAGATGTGGATAGCATTAGAAATTAGTTGCCAGTGACACAGGTTCCTGTTAATGTTCCTCTGATTGTTGCCTTTATTTGCTGACTCACATCGGAACAAACCACATTGTCTGGTTATATTATGTAATTGCTATTGTAATGCTTTTTAATGCAAAATTAAAGGGGTTTAAAGACATTCTTAATAATAAAAATGTTCAAATCAATGTTTTGTTGTTTTGGAAAATGTTTTGTTTAACATGGCGTTCAGTTCAAAGATATATAAGATTGCAGCAAAACCAGAAAACAAAAAAATCTTTTAATATTAGGACTTCTGACTTTTTGTCTCTAAACAATGGCTGCGTTTTCTGTTAATTTTCAGTCCAGTTCTTGTTCCCGTCCAGTCTCAAAGGTATAAAGAAGCACATAACTCAAGGGGTGAGCCACACCATCAACTGGATCTTGACATTGTAGCTGCAGAAGTGAAATGAGTGTAGTTCTTTCAGGAACCCTGTTTAAACCTTTGATCAGCTGATAAATGAACACAAACTAAACCTAAACTATAAATCATTTGATAAAAATCTTCATTTCATATTGTTTTGATGATATAACATTTGAAGGCATCTAAAGAAGAGAATGATCCACTGGTTGACTGGGAAACAGTCCAGCAGTTAAGGACTCATTAAAAATAAAGTTTTATACTGATCAGCCAGTATGAAATACAATTATTACAACACAATAATCCTCAGAGGATGTTTCATTTTCATTTTTCACCCACCTAAACATTTTCAGAGAACAGTCACCCTCACCCCATACCTCGAGGGCCCAGCGAATCTCTAGCATCCTGGTACCAGGCACTCCAGGACACCCTCAGATGTCACTAAGCTCCGGCCACCTGTCTGTCTCTTATTTCAGCAGTGAGGTCAGTTAGAAACCCTCCCTTCATTATCCTTCCTCTCAAAGTTCATCTCAAGCCCCCAAAAGCTGCCAATGATCCACATCCAATCCCCAGCCTCCTTTTCTAAATCAAGGCATGTGCTCACAGCTGTGGCTCCTAACTTTGTGAGAACAAACATTTCTCTTGACGTTTCCCATAACTTTGAGCTAAAGTATTAACATCATGAAATGAGCTTTTTTGCCTCAGAAAGGGACATGGAACCTTGTGGGAAAGAGGAGGATGTCCAAGCAGGTTTATGTTTAATAGCATCAGTTCTAGACGTGCACACCAATGAGCACACATTCTCAGACTTCTGTGACATCCCAAAGGACCGGATATATAAAGCTGGGCTGCCCCTCTGGCTGTTATTCTTCATCATCGTTGGTGAGCGTCTTCCACAGACTCAGGTACATGCTTCCATTTTTCTCTGTTTTCTGAGTTTTCTCATTGCTGAAATATTTAAAATGTCTCTGTTCGGAAGCCAGACATTTGTATATTTTTGTATACCYTCAAAGAGTAATTGCTATCAGTATTTTTGTACTGTTTGTGGAGTGCAGTGCTTTAAATCTGCACTCACATTTTGATCAAAAACACTATTTTTAAGCTGGTAAAAAGCTCTGAGTTATATGGACTACCTGAACACAATGACTTACACTGTGTGAAGGGAGTTTCAGCTTTTTTTAAATTCTGCCTACTGACATTGGAAGTAGTTGCCAAAACTATAACTTAAAACCCAAGAAGCCCTTCAAATAAATAAGTATTCAGTCATATTAAAATGCTTTATGATGTTGCTATATAATAAAAACACAATAACACTTAATGAACTCAGTAAAATATAAAATTCAATTAAAAAAAAGACAAATTTCCTYAAGCCTTTCCATAGTTTTTGTTAAATTACATTAAATTGTGCACAGTAAACACCAGACCCAGTGGGTCAGTGGATGTTGAGAAATGTGTATATCCCCGTTTCGAACATGATGATCGTCAAACTGGTGTACTCCTGGACCGGTCGTCCATCTGTACTGCTGAGTGTGACTCTTTCAGCCAGTTTAGCCTGCAGTGATGCAGTGTGATAAATTCCTCTTTGAATCCTTCATCTGTCTTTGCTCCGTGACACTGTTTATTCAGACCCACATGCTCTGAGATCTTGGCTAACAACTAACTCCAAAAGGATCTGAGAGACTCTGGCGGCCTTGGAGYTTGATCTGTTGGGTAAATAAAAGCTCAACAGTGGACTGTCAATTAAAACGAACTGCAAATATTTAGGAAGGCCTATTTACAGGTGAACCACACAATTTCCCGTTAGTCAAGTCAGACAGCAGCTAGATTAATTATTAATAGATTCTGGTGTTAATAGCCGTGACGTGCTTAATGTCTCTGTCCAAAATTCTTTGTTAATCAAATTAAACATGGAGTTTGGGACAGCTGGTCCTGCTCTTATCCTCAGTAACAAGATGCTCTGTTATCCTTCTGCTATTCCAAGCTCATCACCATCAAATGGCCTTTCTATTATTTTATTATTTCACAGGACTTATTTGTCTGCTCTGAAAAAGGAGCTTTTTAATTAGAGTTTATTAAAACTCCAGCTTGTATTGAACATTGTTCAGCTCTCAGACTAGTAAATGTGAATACAATCCTCRTTATTTTTCTAGTAAATAAAGTCAAACACAATAACAGCAGGTGAATTTCTAATTCTTTTGTCTCCTTCAGTACACAAACAGTTTTTGACAACACAATTATCATATTTTTAGTGCTACTATAACATAAACTGCCATCTGATCCAATAACTCAGTGTTTCCCAAAGTTGGGGTTGGGACCCAAAGTGGGGTCCCGAAACATCAAGGTGGGGTACTGAAAAGGTTCTCTGAATTAATTAAATTTTTGCCTTATAGTTGTTACAAAGTAGTGAGGTTAGTATATTTAAAATGGACAAATGTAGTATAAAAAATATTGTTACTATGCCCATGTTTTGTTGACCTGATATAAATGTTTGTCGTCCAAAAATAGTTGGGGGCACAGGTCTCTGCTACTGTTTTGTACTATTCTGTGGGTCATAAGCTGAAAAGTTTGGGAACCACTGCACTTTGGTTCCCAAAGTTGGGCTTTGACCCTATTATGGGTCTTGAAGCACCTTGGATAATCTCCAGAAATCAATTTAAAGGGTAATAAAATAATTGCTGATGTAATATTTTCCCTATAATTATTACAAAAACACAAAATAAGTATAAATAAGTATTTATATTTGTGTATACACAGTTTAGATTGTCAAAAAGCCTGTGTTTTTAGGGCTATTAACGAAGTTCGTGTACTCAGACCAGTAATATTTGGGGTCACAAGTTTTTGCCATGGATATTTTGTGGGTCAGAAGACAAAAGGTTTGGGAACMACTGCAATAACTGACCAATATGAAGCCTACCTTTCTTCTGTTTTCACAWGAAATATTCAAAAATGTAAAAACAAGTCACACTCTGCAGATATTTATATACCTAATCATTAGGTGACCTCTCAGACTAACATTTTACTGAATGTTTTTTTAAAAAATTATATTTTTCAGTTTTATCTTTACTACCAAAGAAACTACCAGAACGAAAAACACAAGAAAAGTTTTTTTTTTATCAGTTAATTTACAATTGTGTATTCCTTTTTTTTTTTCAGTGAAACCATGTCTTGTATAGATGAGCACGGGTAACTGAAGACTTTCAATTTGCACATTTCTAATACTAAAATCTGGTAAAGCGTGTCTAATAAATTCTTTCCTTTCATGTTGTTCAGAGGCCATCATGAGGGTAAGAAAAATCCTTAATTTGGTGACTTTAAGCTACATTTTCAGTCCTACCATACTGTGTCCTTCTGCAGATGAAGAAGAGGAGCAGGGAGAGGAAGGTGAGATCGCTTCAAAAACAACACATAACTGTTGGGATGTTTTCTAGTGCATTAAAAACAAAACCAAATTATTTTTCTTTTATCTTCCGTGGACCATATTAAAGGACGCCCCAAATACAAGTAAGATTTTATTAATGAATAAGATGAATAAAAATCTTTATGTGCTGTAAATATGTTTTATTGTGGTGTCATGTTCATTTTAGGCCGATGGTCACACAACTCATACCRCCAAAAATCCCAGAGGGGGAGAGGGTGGATTTTGATGTAAGTTTCTTCACGWGGCTTAAGAATTCCATCAGAGTTGATCCTAAATGTGCACTTTTGCTTGTCCTCACTGTCAGGACATCCACAGAAAGAGGATGGAGAAAGATCTCCTTGAGCTACAGACTCTGATTGATGTCCACTTTGAGCAGAGGAAGAAAGAGGAAGAGGAGCTGATTGGWCTCAAAGAAAGAATTGTAATCTCATTTTTGTGTGTTATCCCCTCTAAAAATAAATGTGTCAGTCTGATGCAGCCATAACGCACTTAGTTATCCCTTTAATGATAGGAGAGACGGCGGGCGGAGAGAGCTGAGCAGCAGCGTGTGAGGGCTGAAAAAGAGCGGGACAGACAGACACGAATTGCAGTAATTTATCATATTTTTCATTAAATTATCTGTACTTTAATACAACCCACAACGCTAAAGCCAATCAAAACCATTTAGTAACCGGTTGATTTCTTCAGGAGGAGAGACAACGGAAAGAGGAGGAAGAAGCGAAGAAAAGGGCAGACGATGAGGCCAAGAAGAAGAAGGTGCTCTCCAACATGGGGGCTCATTTCGGAGGATTCCTTGCAAAGGTTTGTGGAGTTTATTAGCTTTATGCAGTGATGTGCATCGTTCGCTCTGATGGAGGAAATTTGTGTTTTCTGCAGGAGGAACAAAGACGAGGCAAAAAACAAACGGCAAGGGAGATTAAGAAGAAAACTCTGGCAGAGAGACGGAGGCCACTGGYGATTGAGAACCTGAAGGAAGACGGCCTGAGGTCAGTGAAGGCCTCATCAAAGACTGATCTTTTTAAAGAAGTGTTTTTCTTTTAACTGAGGCTAATGTTTTAGAAATGTCAGCAGGTCACATGTGTGACCTTTGTTTTTTGCAGAGAGAAAGCCAAAGAAATGTGGCAGTGGATCTACCAACTAGAATCAGAGAAGTTCGACCTGACTGAGAAGATGAAGAAGCAGAAATACGAGGCAAGCTGTGTGAGAATACAGGAGGTTTGCTGTAAAAATAGCTCATTTCTGACAAACTTTATGCACTGTTTTTTTTTTCAGATTAACGTCCTTCTGAACAGAATCCAGCATGCTCAGAAATTGTGAGTCAATCCGCTTGTTATGATAATCCACTGCATAAATCCTAAACCCTCAACTTGCAAAGCGGTGCATGATAAAGCTTTGACTATGCAAACATATCACTGATTAATGGCTGCTGCTCGTGCACAGGAAGCGTGCGCTSGTGCTTCTTAGTAGACAGGATGCACACGTCTGAGACATTTACATAGTTAAATGGAGCRGAAAGCGAAACAGAATACTTCTCCTTCTGAAACCACAAGAAAACTGTGGGTCCAGTGTTGTACACTGCTGCTGCTTTTTAATCTCCTCTTGCCTTCATTCAGCAAAAAGGGCCATGGGAAAGGAAAGGTTGGAGGACGCTGGAAGTGAAGCCCTCCACACACAAACTGGAGTTCCACACTGAGAAGACGCCCCACAAGCTGCAGCAGTTCTGTAGTGTTCAGTGCTTGACCCGAGAGAGATGTGCTGGATTTCTGTGTGACACTTCAATTTGCATTTGTAGTCATTAAAATGCATACAATATTAAACACTGGAAATTTATTCAGATTAGTTAGTTTCATTGGCTGACTTCTTTCTGAGGACAGAAACACAATAAATCTGTCTACATATCTCAACTGTCTCTCCTAAAGTAAATCTTTATAAATTTTACAAAAGCTTAAAAAAGCATATTGTTAACATACCAGTTGTCGTGGTGTTTTTAAACAGCTTCAAAGGATAAAAATGAAAAGCTGTGATACAATCTTCAGGTCTGCTGGATAAAAACTGCATGAACATCATCACAGTTCTCCTCATGCCAGGGTTTGAATCCAGCCTCTGCAGCCATGCTTGACACTTTTTTCGCAAGATCTGCTTCTTGCTCTTTGTTGAGATCCAAGATGTATCTGCAACACACRAAAGTAACGTCAATAAAACATAATTAAATTAAAAACCGCGTAGGTAAATCTGGGGGGGGGGGAACGATGCGCATTTAAATATCTGATGCACAAACATGAGTGCAGAGCGATCACMCGGCCGTCGCTGCACAACTGGAGACTGTACACTTGCCATGGTAACAGGCCATGTTACTATAAAAACCCTCACTTGGCCAACTCCACGACGAGCACGGCGTCTGGCGCTGCAATCTGTCTCATCGCGGGGCCCAACTGGTGCACGCAGCTTCGCAGCAGACAGGGGGAGTCAGAAACACAGAAATGAAACACGCTCACAAGATAATATCAATATTCTGCTTTCCAGGTGATGGGGGAGCAACTCCCCCTCCCCATTCTATTTTAGTTTCAGTATTTGCATGCTAGAAAGTGATATTTATGGCAACTCTAAAAAATGGTCTCACCTGGCAGAGAAGTAAATAGTGTGGAAGTAATGAGAGTATTTCTGTTTCTCTGGCAGCTTGCGAAGCGAGTCCGAAGGGAGGAACGTTACAGAGACTCCATTCAGCCGCATCAAATCTGAGGGAAATGAAACTGTTACCTTAAAGCTACGTAGTTTTGCTTATTTTATGGCTTCTCGTCAATGTAAAGTGGCGTGTTATTAACACGGCAGCTTGAGAAGCTCGAATCTAATTAATGAGTATTTTTAAACACCCCTGGCTCAATACATGATGCAACAAGTCACTTTCATTAYTGCAAAAGCTGTCCATCTTACCAAGTTTTAAAATCTTATATCCAGCCAAAAAGTCTTTTTGATCTTGTTTTGAGACAGATTTAGTAAACAAGAACTGACTGTGTAAGAATAATCATCTTGTTTTCAGAATGTGTAAGATTATTTGTCTTGTTAGTCTGAAAATATCACTCAAATTAAGTCAAAGATTTCTGCCAATGGAGTAAGAAAATTTTACTTGGTAAGATTCTTAAAATAAGAAAAAATTGAGTCAAATCAAGTATTTCCATATTCAATTTCAGTATTTTATTATTCGTACACAATCAGTTCTTGTTTAGTAAATCAGTCTCACAAGATCAAAAAGACATTTGGCTGGATATAACATTTAAACCTTGGTTAGGTGGACAGTTTGAGCTAGCGCCACAGTGCTTTACCATTAAAGCTGGCAGATTTCTGCTCAGCTTGTGCCTCTGAGTCGGACTGAGGAGCAGCGAGGCAGCCCCGTCTGCTGGACAGGGACTGGAACAATCCTTGGACGTTTGCGAAGGAGACGTCCTGAGCKGTCTGCAGATGTAAAGAGAGGGACGGATGAACAAAACAGACATCATCCATACATTAATTAACAGGAAACGCCAACGTGACGTATAATCTATGTCATTAATGCATAGCAGTTTACTTTGATGTGCTGCTTGTTCTGTTTCTTCAGCAGGCTCTTGTCATCTGTTTCAATGCCAAAAGAGAGATAAGGACTGGAAACAATGTCTCCCCAGTAGCCTCTGAATGCAACTTTGTCTCCCCTCTGTCAACACACACACTTACAATAAAGTTCCTTTACGCTGAATAATTAAATTCAGATAATTCAATAATTCAGTGCAGCAAACCAGATAATCACTTACCTGATTAAACCCCTTAGAAGAAAGCAAAGTTGGATTGGTTATTTGGTAAACACCTTCCCTCAGCTCAAACGCCAGTCCCTGCTCTCTCCATTGGACATATTGTTGTTTGTTAATGATGCTACACTGCAGGATAGAGTTAACATTGACTAGGAACTTCCAATTTTTACAATTTTTTTGTGTAAAAAAATAGGAAAACTCTATAAGAAAATTCTGAGTTACCCCTTTTGTATGCAGCTTCATTTTAAGATCCCAGTCAAAAGAGCCATTCCTGGAGTCATAACGGGTACCGAGATGCTGCCTGATGCGATAATCCCAGACTTTAGACATCCTGATGGGAGCAGGACCCTCAGAAGACTGGTYCCACAAGTTGAATATCCGGACTAGTTCATCTCGCTCCTTGAACTGTGAAGAGTCAATGTAATTGTTTTACTTTGTCTGAGTTTTTTGGGGGGCTCTTGGACATCTGGACTCTGTGTATTAATATTATCTCACGTTTAGTATTACAGCGGGTAAAATAAGTATTGAACACGTCAACATTTTTCTCAGTAAATATATTACTAGAGGTGCTAATG